TGGCACATAATCGATAATGTTTATTTAGTTGATCAGGTGTTTTATCTTCTAAGTCTGCTCTCCTACAATTTTCCACCCACTTCTGGCATCTGGCTGGATCCCTCGGGAACCTGAAGAAGGCCAGATCCAACTGAGTGCTCTTCCGCGTGCAGTTGGGGGCCGCCCAGAAGTTCAGCATCTCAGAAGTTCAGCATCTCAGAAGTTCGGCATCGTCATCCGCCCACGGGCCGGCTCGGCGCTCCCCTCCCGCCTCCTCAGGGCAGCCCACCCGCCCTTCCGGCCAGGGAGGGGAGCCTGGCCGGCTGGCCAGCTAGTCAAGGCCGGCCTGCCGGGGAGGAGGGGCGGGCAGGCGGAAACTATTCTTGTATTATTATTTAGTAACTAGAGGCCCAGTGCATGAATTTTTGCACAGGTGGGGTCCCTTGGCCTGGCCTGCGGGGATTGGGCAGAAACCAGCTCTCTGACATCCCCTGAGGAATCCTGGATTTCGAGAGGGCACAGGCCAGGCTGAGGGACCCAATCAAGGCCAATTGGGGCCGAGGATTTTCTGCGGGAGGACTCCAGGACAAGTCTGGTCTGTCTCACCCAGTCCCAATCGGCTGGACCCCAGCAGCAAGCTAACTTACTGGTCTGAGAATCTGCCCCCTGGTGGTCAGTGCAAGTTATAGTGACTGATCAAATGGTTGAAGGAACAGTTGGACACTTAGCATATTAGGCTTTTATTATATTGGATTACTGTATTATTTTCCATATGAGCAATTGTAAACCTACTTTTGCCCCACCCTGTATAATCACAAGACTGGCTACTGGACTGGTGTGAAACCCTCCTTCCCAATCATACAATATCTTAAGGCTCTTTTTCATTTACTTTGAAATGGTGAAGAGGCTGTACTAGAGGAAATGTGGCCAGTCAGCAGAGCAATGGCCAGGGAATTCTGTAAGGTGCTTTATTTTAATTCCATTTGATCAGCATTATATGGCTGCAGGTTAATCTCTCCATAGGGTTTATAGTCAGCTCCAAGCTCCTTTTCTTTTTACCATAAGTCTACAACCCTTTCACTGCTAATTAGTATCTCTTAAGGAAAGGACAGGAAAAGGAAGTGCAGTTTAAAGGAACTGGTCTTTCTTCATAAGCAATGTTTGGCTGGTTACAGAAGGAGATTGAAAATTTGACAGTCTCATTTTAAGGTATTAAAATAACTGCGAACTTCAATTATCCAGGCTCTTTATGTTGCCTCCTCCATGTCTTCATTGGCAGGTACCTGCCGTTTTATTTATTTTAAATCCCATTACAGCCTTTTTTTCGATCTAGAGGAGAAAGAAATATTTCACATATTCACATCATTACAAGTATAACTTTTTCCTCCAGCATAACATGAGGTTGGTATGTCAGGAATGCAGATGTTTGTCTATATTTGTGGATTCCAGCCTTTTTCACAGTCCCCTTGTTAATTGTTCTGTCAGGCGGCTTTTGACTTTTACAAAATAAACCTGACCTGTGTGTCACTGCCTTTTTAAACAGAATTAAATCTCAAAGAATAAGATGCCTTAAAGGACCTATGGTAGGAAAAAGAAAAAGCCTAAGTCAATGGAAATGGAATGAGATTGAAACCTTGGCGTAAAATTACTTGTAATGAATTGGAATTCTTTTCTTTTTACAAGATAATAAAATTAGGCTCCTTAATAACTATTCCTTGGGATTAAATGAATGGCCTAAGGATACTAAGGGCGATGAGGGGGTTGGCCTGTAGTGATTAGGAGACCCAGGGCTGTTGCTACAGGTACAGACAAAATGCTTAAGTATGTTTTCTGAATAACCAAAAGTTACTGGTGGTTAACAAAACTGATGGACCAATTTTAATCAGAATGACAGAATTATTTGAGTCTGTGTGGAGAAATTGCATACATCTATATATCAAAATGAATAACTTAAATCAATCATTCATATGTTTATGTTTCCATGGTACCAAGCATGAAGAACTGGAAAACAGCCGAATAACCAATTCAGTTCTATTTATTTTACCTTGATGCCTCTGCAAATACTGTAAGTCTTTTAAGGATAGTCAGCATGCCTGATATTTCCTTTCTCTTCCACACAATACCTACCATATAAATAGCCTGCAATAACTGCTTGATTAAATGTTTTATAAATAAGTTTATATCAGTCTGCAAAGCTATCTGTGGCAAGGATGTCTAAATGATTCTCTCAAAGATTCCTGCTTCCATCCCATATTGTAGGGTTGCTGCTGCATAGTGGCTATCAAGCTATGAACTGCATTTCCAGCCCCTCTCACATCTAGATAGGGCCATCTCACTAATTGAATTTTAGAGGAATTGCTTTGTCATTTTTAGGCCAAAGTAGTTAAGAAGCAATTACTTTAGTCTATTTCCCTATCTACTGGCTTAATGGAGAGAACTCCAAGTGTTCAGAGAAGGTCAGAAGTATGAGATGGAAGGATCTGGGTGCTTGATGCCCATGTGGAAGCCCTTCACAACCAAGAACATTCACATTGGACTGTGAAATAATTTTACTGTGTTATGCCACTAAGAATTTGAAATTTGTGTTTAGAGCAGCTAGTAATATCTTTATTAACACACTGTGAATGTTAGTATCTAAGGTCTAAAATAATCTCTTGGAGGTCACTTCTATTGTCTTCATGGAATCAGCAGAAAGGGGTAATAGGACATTCTGATAGGTCTCTGTTGCCTCAGCACTGTCATAAAGTATTTGTGCTAGATGTCTTCTATTTGCCCTGTTCAAATCCTCTCTCCATTCTTCTTTTCCCTGCTCTCTGTCCTCTGTAATCTGAACTGTATGGATTACATTAACCAGCTCTCTTGCCCTCTGGCATTTGGCTGAGTTTGGCTAACAGAAAACTCCCACAGGAGGTCAGAGGGAAGGAGGAGAGTGAGGGCAGAGTATTGATTCCTTTGGATCCTTCACTGTGAGGTTTTCTTGGAGTGGCTGTGTCCCTCAAACAAAGGTCAATGCTCCTCTCAAGGAAGCCTTCTCCACACCTCTCTCTCCTTTTCCATCCAGCAATCACCGTTCACCTTGTGCCTTCAGGCCTAGGGCTGGTAATAGCTTTGTTGCTACTAGCTCTGAGTTACTGCACTATCCATTATGTGTCTCCTATATCAAATCCACTTTTATATAAATAGCCCCTTTTATATATTAACTAGAGCAGGGGTCCTCAAACTTTTTAAACAGGGAGCCAGTTCACTGTCCCTCAGACCGTTGGAGGGCCAGACTAAAAGGCTCTCCTAACTTAAAAAAAAAAGGCCCTACTAACTGCAAAATAAAAAAAAAAAATAGACCTCCTAACTTCAAAAAAAAATAAATCCTAACTTGTTCTTACCTTGGTCCTTAGGCAGCAGCAGGCTCTGCACAGGCAAGCTCGTGACTCGTCCGATCACACCCGAGACTGAGAGGAGGAGTTGAGAGACAGAGAGAAGGAGGGGAGTCGGAGAGTGCGGCGCACATTCCACACATGCGCACTGTGGGCCTGGGACGAGTCGGCTGCTAAGCAACTGGCGGGCTGGATAAATGTTTTTGGCGGGCCGCATGTGACCTGCGGGCCATAGTTTGAGGACCCCTGAACTAGAGGCTTGGTGCACGAAATTCGTGCATGGGTAGGGTCTAGGCCTGGGCCTGCACCCTCTCGCAATCCGGGACCTTTCAAGGGATGTCCAACTGCCGGGTTAAACCGGCAGTCGGACATCCCTCTTGCAATCCAGGACTGCTGGTTGCCTCCCTGTGCGGGGCGATGTGGAGAGATGGGGGAGCCCTCACTGGCACCTGCCTTGGCTGGCCTAGGGACTGCAGACTGGGGGCAGCTCCTGCATTGAGTGTCTGCCTCCTGGTGGTCAGTGCACATCATAGCGACTGGTCATTCCACCGGTTGTTCTGCCGTTCAGTCAATTTGCATATTAGGCTTTTATTATATAGGACTATATCTCACAATTGGGGAAAAGATCCTCTTAGGTTGACATCTCTTGAATTCTCTTAATTTGAATGTGCCATCTGCTTTTTGTTGAGACCCTGGCTGATAAAGAGAACCAGCATTAGATGCTCACAAGACAATCTCCATTAGTCAATATGAATCTGCTAATCTCACCCAATTCTGGTTCTGTACACTTTTTGTAGGGCTTTTCATTTTCTTCCACAACATTAGCCAAAGCCACTGTGGACAGTGTAGCTCAAAGTAGCTGGCTATAGGTTTGATGTTTCTTAAAATGTTATGCATGTGAATTTTGCTTTTTACACTATATCCATGCTTTAAAGAAATGGAGCATAGTAGTTGGGAGTAACTGGCATCAGTAAGGCTTCAAGTTAGCTTTCAAGATAAGATGTCTCTACCACTTATTAGCAATTACTTTAGGCAAGTTACTTTGTCTCTATAAGCCTGAGTTTCCTTATCACTAAAGTGAGAATAATAACAATACCTACCTTATGTGATTGTTTTGAGGACTAAATGCTTGACTCATATTAAGTGCTCAGTAAATTTAACTCCACAAACCATATATGCTTGACTAAAATTGATGCTCCAAGATGGTCTTTGTTTAGCCTATGAATTCATATACTTTCTTTTTTTGAACTTTCAAAATTTTTATTTATTTTTTTAAACATTTCTTTATTGATTAAGTTATTACATATGTGTCCTTATCCTCACATTACCCCCCATACCCCCCACTCATGCCCTCACTCCCCTGTTGTCTGTGTCCATTGGTTAGGCCTATATGCTTGCATGTAAGTCCTTTGGTTGATCTCTCCCCCTTACCCCCCACCCTCCCCTACCTTCCCTCTGAGGTTTGACAGTCTTTCAATATATAACCACACATATCTTAGTTTGAAAAGCATGCATACATTTGCTAAAGTTAAGTGTAGTAAAAGCAAAGCAGCTGCAAGGGCAAAATTGCTGACATTTGATTTCTCAGAAAAAGGAACAAAAGAAGGACAGAGAAATGAAAAAAAGGAAGGAAGGAGAGAGGGTAGAAGGGAAGAGAAGGATGGAGGGAGGAAGGAAAAATGGAGATAGAAGAAGAAATGTCATCTTCAAGAGGCTGTATAGAAAAATTATGAGAAAAAATGAAACAGAAAAAAGAGGCTGTAAAGTATGACAATTAAGAACATAAACCGCATTTAAAAACCTGGCTCTGTTACTTGTCAACAGTGTGAACTTTAGACAAGTTGCTTAACATCCATGTGCCCAGTTTTTTTAAATCTGTAAAGTGGGAGATAATAATAGCATCTGTCTTATAGGCTTATTGTAAAGATTAAATGAGTTAACATGTAAAATACTTACAACAGGACCTGGAACACAGTAAGTACTATGTAAATGTTTATTATTATTTACTATTTCTAAGGGAAATTCAGAACTTGTATTCTTTTACACATAATTTATTTTGCACTTTCAGCCATTTCTTTTTATTTACAGTTTATGTGCAATGCAAATCAATTACATAACATGAGAAATTACTATGAATAAAGCATAAACATACAAACACAATATACAATCCAAAATAGATGTACTGCATTTAGGTATTAAACAAAATGGAATATTCATTCTCATACACAGCAGCTTGAGATCTACTGGGTATGGTCTTCCTGGGTGGGTTTCTAAAGATAGAGAAATAATGATCTTGGTTATCAAGACTACTGTGGCCATATTAGATACTGGAACATCTAAGCATCAGAGTGTGACCATGTGAACAAAAGATTTAGAGAGTGTCTTTTTAAAAAGGTTTTCTGCATCCAGGCAGTTGTGAAAAGATTTAACTTCCCTGGCTGGTGTTGCTCAGTTGGTTGGAGCATCATCCCATGCACATAAAGGTCACTTGTTCAGTTCTCAGGTTTGGTTTCTGGTAGGGATGTGTGCAGGAGGCAACCAATTGATGTTTCTCTTTCCCTTTCTCTCTCCTTTACTCTCTCTCTCTAAGATCAATAATAATTTTAGAAAACAACATAAAAATATTGACCAAGAACAGGAAGTATTCCAAATATGGCTACTCTGATTCATAGTTTTTTTTGATGTACAGAGTCTAAAAGTTTTCCGGAATTTAATGTAAGCTTCCAGTTTTCACTTCCGAAATACTTAATTTACAGTTTTGATTATTTCATATATTTACCTTTTCAATTTTAATATTTGTCAATTTTATCTTCATAATCAATAATTTTAAAGTGTAAAAAGTATTTAACATATGCAGAAGTAAAAAAGCATTTTGAAATTAGTTGAGGACAGTATAGTGCTAGTGTTTGGAATAGTTTAGCTAAATGAATCTGTTGCTTTTATTGAATAGGAATAGGTGATAAGTGTATAAGCAAAATTTACTCATTATGCCTGGATTTGGGGTAGATTCCAATCCCTCATTGTCCTGGCACATGTCAATTACTACACAAAAAGTCAAATGCTGTGTCAAATCCAAAGCCTGAGAGGAAAGAGTTCAGTTCCCAAGAGAACAGTGATAGCTTAACAATATTTAACTTTATCTAGAGTTACATTGGCATTAAATTAGTACTGTGAAACAATACATTGAGGATTTATAGGAACACCTGGAAGTTCCTTCTAATGTACATATAAATAGAACCATAGCTTTTTGCATTACCTAACTCTCTTATGACCTTATAACTTTAATGAAGCAAATGAAAAGTGTTCCAAATTCCATCCTTTATATCTAGATAAGTCTTAATTTTCAAGGTAGAATTGTGTGTCCATATCTCTTAAGCCATATTTAAGGAAATCATCTCTGAACTAGTGTTGGATGTGTCTCTTCATTTTACAGATGAAACTCCAGCAGATTTAATATTGGCACACACCATCTAATCAAACCCTGTACATCAAGCATCTCAAACTCAAAGGCTCACGGGCCAAATAAACAAGGTTTAAGTTTATGTGGGCCGCAAAAAAATAAAAGCTTCAATTTTCATAGAAATGTAGGTTTATTTCGATAGAGATATGCTGAATACAAAGGGGTGAAATAAATGAGTCATCGTTAACATAAAATAATAGAACATTTTAATGAAAATTAATATTTTTTCTTAAATATTAACTTACCAGACACTGAATAACTGCACAAATTAATAAGTGTAACACAAATAAACCTATTTTTCTTGTTCTCCAAAAGCGAAATATTTCCTGTTGTGCACCAACAAGTCAGTCCAAGACTAATGATGTGGCAATCGGCTGCTAAAATATTCGCTGCTAGTATGAGTGGAGAGAAATGGTGTACCTGTGCATAAGGTGCGTAAGGGAAATGAATGCAACACGATTCTAGTAATCAGTCATTAGCGAATGTTGTAGTTCGTTATTAATAATTATATATAAGAGGATATTGTAAAAATTAAGTTACAAAATTTTTATTAAAATGTTTCTTACATACCATTATATTGGCTGGGCTGCAAAAATATTTGTTGTGGGTTGCATGTGGCTCGCGGGCTGCGGGTTTGACATGCTTGCTGAACATGCTTTTCAAACCAGTCAAATTTGAGATCTTCAACATTTTCTGTGCCAATAAAATTAGGTGTGGGATTAGCATATTCAATGAAGATTTGTTTTGTTCTGGTCATACTGGATGTCTAGAGGACATTTGGCTTGGGTGTAGAAGATGGAGAAGTATAGATGTTTCTTGGCCTGAGTCTTTTAATGGTAGAGACGTAGAAGAGCAAACAATATCACAAAGAGACTGGCTGTTGACTACAGAGCACTGCCAATAACCCTGGTGCTGGCATTTGCTGCACTTGGGGTAGTTGAGGTATTGTGGGAAGAGTTACTTGCAAGTGTTACAGCAGTTGTTTGATTTGAATAAATCTGCATGGGTAGGAGCAGTGCCAGAAGAAGCAGCCTTCTTTTTTCTTCTGTGCTATAAAAACCCATGGAAATTCACATTTTGGTCACATTTCTGCATAGAATCAAACACCTTTTTCATGCTAATTATCAAAAGATAAATATTTTTCCCAGTAAATATATCAGGACCAGGAGGAAATATGTGAACTAATTTCAGTGCCATAGTTTAAGGTTAGAAATTAGGACACTCAATAAAGTTTCCAGGAGAGATGAGTCCAGGGTCCCACTTAGTCAGGAGTCAGAGTTTTTTAAGCCATGTTCTAAAACTTAGGCTGAGAATCCAAAGTCAGTAAAAGGGTCAAAGTCAAGTGGAGGCTGAAATAGAGTTAGCCACCAGAACAACCCTGAGGATGGTTATTAAACAAATAATGATAAGCAAGTTGTTCCTGACCAGTCAGTCCAGAAGATAGCTATAGGTCAATAAAGGTTTGACTCTCCTTGAATAAAATTAGGAGACTAGCCATGATATGATGAGCCATGACATATATCAACCAAGAGATCAGTATTTGCCTGTTTTTTCTACCTACATGTTACAGGTAGAAATTCTGACTCTAAGTCAATCTGACAAATTGAAAGCACAACTATTAGCATAATATCTACTAATAAAGTAAGCCACACTTTGATAAAAACACTGGTTTGTAATTAATATCAAAGTAGTTAATTATCATTATTAGTGTTTGAAAACTGCTTACCCATTCAAGTTTGTTAATTTTTGGCAGGGAAAAGAAGAAGGAGAACAAGAAGAAAAGGATGTGTGTTTTGGCCTAAGATGTAGAACCTATAGTAAATTGTTGCTATTATCTTGGAAAACTTTTAAAAGTTAGATCATGTAAGTATGCAAACAATACTACTAGTCAATTCTCAGCTAACAGGTAGAATACATCTAAACTGTTTCTGGTCAATTCAATCAAAACAGCTGACTACTTTTGTGAATATTATCTTGGCTTAAGGAGAGCCATCTTTGAAACATGGTTCATAACACATGCAAGCTTGTCTCTGATTTTGCAAACAAGTTTGCAATAGATGGAGTCTCTTTAGACTCAGACAAAATCTACAGGCACATGATTGAGCTGATTGTATTTGAAAAGGCTATGTTTCTAAACTTTCCCAGCTTATTCAGATGACCCCATAAACCAAGGGAATAGAATTTCTAGTTCTCTGCCATTGAGGGGTCATGGTCCTGGGTTAATGAGTTGGAGTCGCCAGTTTTCCATCATGTCTGATTCATGAGCTCTGTCTAGATTCTGTTTAAATCCTTCCTTATTCACCAAGGACACTGTCTTCTGCGCACACAACAAAAGCGAGAAAACCTAATGAGAACTAAGTGGAAAATGAAGAGTTGTTTCTTCTTCAGATTCATTTTGGCTCCAGTGTGAGTGCACATGCTTGAGGGTGTGTTTTTGTAAACCTCCCTCCCGCCTCTGCCTAAGTTCCTTAGTTGGCTTACCCTATGGTTGTGACTAAGTTGGAACAGTCCTCCTGGGTGTGCCTTTTTCTTTCTGGAGAGAGTTCAGAAGAAGCAGATCAGATAGTTTTGACTTGGAGCAGACTAAGGTTGGGGTTGTTATCCCACTATAACCCTTTATCCTTGGGATAACCAATATTTTGTCTTCTAAGTGCCCTCACCTTTGAGTGTCTGCTAGGATTTTAGAAGACAGGGAGAAAGAGAAGTTTTTGTTCCATGGCACTGTTTTTTTATTTTATAAAATTTGGTTACATGTCTAGGATCCAGTTGTTATTTTCAGGGTACAGTTAAGAAAAATGTCACAATAGACTATCTCTAAACATATGTACATGTTGCTTCACTCACAGAAATCTATTTTTCATTTTACATGTTGTTCAGAGTTGGTCTGCATACTTGTTAGTCCTTGAGAGCCCCAAAGGACAAAGTGTAACATTTGTATACTAAAAGCAGTTCAAGAATAACTCAACAATCTAATTCAGACCTCAAAAGGAATTATGTTAATGACCATTAGTTACTCTTTTGACTACTATAACTCTGACCTACCTACAGTTTCCTATCTTCCTATAGGCTTCAAGGCCCTTTGCCAGGGTCCTAGGCACTCTCAGACTTTTTCTTGCCCAAGTTGTTTCAATAAGAAGTCAGGCTTCTTTTATTTTTCCCAAGTTCCCTTGAGTTCACTTTCCTCCTTCACATTTCTTCCAACTATATTGTCTTTCTTTCTAGAATTGGCTACATGGACAAGTAGAGGAGGTAGCTGTGAGCTGTGATTTGAGAGGCACCAGGTGAGGCACCACCAGACAGCACCACACAATAATTTTTACTGCTTAAATGCAGTGTCTCTTCTAAGAGCCACACCTACTAACTGAGATCCTTTCTTTTCTTGCAGCAGCAAAGCCTGAGCTCTATGCTTATTTCCCTTTCCTTCATAGCCACTCAACTTGGACTCTTTCCCCTTAAACTTGGTTTCAGAGTTGATTGCAATCTCCTTTGCTGCTCATCTTTCCTGATGCTTCTAAGGATAAGCCATTTGGGGATCTAGTGTAGGGGTTGACAAACTACAATCCACTGTGCAAATCTGAGTGAGCCCTTGCCTGTTTCTGTAAATACAGATTTATTGGAACACAGCCACATCCATTGGTTTATGTATTGCCTATCATCACTTTTGCATTATAATGACAGAGGTGAGTAGTTGTGATAAGTGATTATATATGGCCTACAATGCCTGAGATATTTACTAACTGTTACTTGCAGGAAGTTAGCTGACTCCCTGCTCTAGAAGTTTGGAGGCTAATCTTTACAAGAGAATAAGCACAAATAGCGAAGATGGAGACAAGTTGTAAAATTTACAACTTTTTATGTAATGGCTTCTGGTAAACTGTTTCTGACTCCTAAAATAGAAAACCCAAATCCAGATGGGCTTGAGGTGGTTGCTTTCAATTCTGTTGCTGAGCCTCACCCCTTTGCTCCAGGCCTTATTTTCCTCTTGGATGTATGAATGGGCAGGTGGATTCAACTCCATGAAGATCCATATTCCCAGGGTATAGTCTCAAGATACAATCCAAGCCAAAAAATTAGATCCTCATTTACACAAAATAGGCAATTTATATCTATGGGATTCCTAGACTGCATGACATTTAGGCACACTAGGTTTCTTCTTGCTCTCTGCACCCCCGACACTCCAACTCATCTAGAAATATATTTACATGGGCATTTTGCTTATTTTTTTAAATCTTGGATTAAAGTATAAATGTGTTCTGGAAAAGGTTGCCAGTTAACCAATAGAATCTTGGTTTGATTCTTTTTTAAATTTTTTTTTGTCAATCTTCACCTGGGGATATTTTTTCTATTGACTTCTTTTAGAGAGAGTAGAGGGGAGGGAAAGAGGAAGAGGAGGAGGTGGAGGAGAGAGAGAGAGAAGAGAGAGACACATCGATTGGTTGCCTCCTGAATATGCCCCCACAACTCGTGCTCCAACCGGGCCATGGATTGAACCTGCAACCCAGGTACATGCCCTTGACCGGAAATTGAACCCCTTGACTCTTTGGTGCATAGGCCGATGTTCTAACCACTGAGAAACACTGCCCAGGGCAAGGTTTGATTATTTTTAATAGTGTCCTACCAGAGGACAGAACTCTTAAGTATAAAGTGCTGTCTGCTTTTGAACCTCTATATTCTCCTTTTCCCAGAGCTGAAGCTACTTGATTCCCTCCTGCCGCCTTTAGCTCCATTTATTCTCCAAGACCAAACCTAGCCTTAGTCAGGATGGATTAACAGTGTCCTAGTTTAATACACTAGGTAAGGGCATTAGGTTAACCTAATGGCAAACTCTGACTTTGTGTTCCAGCTCTAACTGCCCTGCAGTCTTATTTCCTAATTATTCATTTTGTCTTGTTTAACTATCTAGTATTTCTGATTCCACTTTATCTATGTCCTCTTGGGACAAGCACCTTGTTATAAACCCCTAATCAGCTGTCAGGGCCCTGCTATCTGCCTACATATTTCCTGGATATTGACTTCTTACCTGGATTTCCACCATTATATTCTGGATAACCAGTTGTCATATTCTGTCCTGCCATGGAGAGAATTTCATTTTAGCTCCCCCAGTGCCTACTACTGAAACATTAAACAAATGATTAATGAGTTGCACAGAATATTCCATATCCTTTTCTTAGAGATGAACATTAATTAATTTGGTGGCTTCCATCTCCCTAATGACTATCCATAAACCAGCCCACAATGGATTAGAACCTTGGGTATCTGTGAACACCAGCCTTAGATGAATAATGAAGTATCACAAAGTCAATGAAAGCTCATGGAAAATTTTACTCATCTGACCTTTTTTAAGGCTGACTAATGTGATTTTCATGGCTATTTTTGTTTTGTCCTGTTTACATTCATAGTATCATTTTTGCTTGCTTTTCTTACTTTCTTTTCAAGTTGTCTCTTTTTATATTTGTGCACCTTGCTTCTGATGACTGAGAAGTAGGGTGAAGATTGCAGCATGAGGACTTACTACCCCCAGGATGGTTTACCCTGGTGTCAGTTGTGGGGTTATGACTTAAAGGGTAAAGTATATCCCTAGTCTCCCCAGCATATTAACCCATGCCATCCAAGAAAGGCAGTAGGAATGAGAGACAGAAACCTGAAGAAAGAGTGAGAACCCTGCTTTATCTTCTCTTGAAATGACACCTAGAACAATTCCTGACAGTATATATACTCATGAATGCATTTGTTAAATAACTAAATTTAAAAATGCTGGTTTAACCCATTCATTCAGTTAACCTTATCTGTAGATTGTTAGTAATGGGGTTTGTTTGTATCAGTAATCTCCTCTGACCAAAGTAATTAAATCTTTATCCTTCGATTGCCCTAACTGTAACACACAGTGATAAAACACAGCTTGTGAAATTGAAGAGCATTTGAATTTTTCCCTAAAAGAGAAGTGTTTTAAAAGCAACATCAGAAACTTTGAGGTGGGGTGACAGCTTATATTTATGGCATCCAATAAAATGCCTTGCTTGAAAAGAACATCACCTTCCATGAGAGACTTGGATGACACGCGGGTGAATTGAGATGGCTGTAAGTTAAAAACACTGGCTTGCATTTCAAAACATCTTGAGCTTCTAAGGCACAGTGTGCCTGGCCTTGTCAGATAGATGAACCCTTCCACACTGGATTGTTCACGATGCCTACCAGCTACACCTAGTGGGCTGAAGCTGTGGTGCAGCCCAAAACTGGTTGAGAAAATTTTCTGCTGTCTGTCTGACCTTATCTTGGCCAATTTTAAGATGCAGTGACAATTCATCAACTTATAAAGTTATACCTCAGAGACATTGTGGGTTTGGTTCCAGACCACCACAATAAAGTGAGTATTGCAATACGATAAGTTGTAATCTTTTTGCTGGTGGAGGCTTTTGCTTTCAATTTGTAAAAAACACAACATCTGTAAAGTGCAATAAAGTGAAGCACAATAAAACAAACTATGTTTGTAGTCTTTTTGAGTGATTGATTATCTTTTTATAGTTGAGGAAACTCAGACTCAAAGAGGTTAAGTGACCAATCCATCAATTACCCAGATAGACTTGGGATTAAACTCCAATTTGGCTTTCCTGATTCCCTAGTTCAGGGGTCTTTTGATCTCCCCATGCTGCCATCTTGACTGCGGTGACACTGCTCATTCTTTTTTTTTTTTTATACTGCTCATTCCTAATGGGCTAGTTTGACTCTGGCTGTTTTACCACTGAGGTTATATCTGCCTGACATTATAACCACTGGTTGAAAAGAAAGAAAAAAAATAGTCCATGTCTATAGTCACTTAACTGACTGATTACTTTACCAAAATAACTACATGTACATGTGGGTAAGCAAAACAGAAGTTATCACTCTCCCCCAATGGAGCCACCTCTCCACAAATTCTCCATGTAGGATGAAACAATTTAGCTAATTGTGCTGGAATATAACTTATTACCTAGGAAAGCAATCTGATATATTTTATGCTTTCTTAAGTTTGCTCCAGAACAATTCTGAGGCCTTTGCTCTCATTAAGAGCCTATCTAACTACTTACCTAGTTAAGATTCTCCAATGACCTTCTATTAATACATAGGTAATCAACAAACATTTACTGCCAGCTATATGCAAAACACTCTTATAGGCACTAGGGAGGCAAGTCTAATACTTATCAAACAGTCATAAAGCAATACAATAGTTACACAGCCAAGTGCTAGTGTAGGCATTACTGATTATGAGAAGAGAGAGGTGTCCTTAGTCTGTGGCAGTCAAGGAAGGCTTTGCAAAAGATATATAATGTTATCTAGGCTTCCAAAACTTGTTAGGATTTTGATAGGCAAAGGGAACATAGAAAAGTATTTTCAAGTAGAGAAACATCATAGGAAGTATAGGAATGAGACACAAAGGAGTTAGGGCAACCATGAGGTAATTAGTATAAATGGAGCACAGTGTATGATTGGGAGGGGTAAGCTCATCCCAAACTCCTCTGTCTAGTATTCAAACTTTATATTATCTTCCCTCATGTAGTCATGCTACAATCCAATGACTTTTCTTCTTCCTAAAGAATAGGCTAAAAGACCATTATCCGGATGAAGTCTAATGTCCTAGTGGTATCATCGTCCTCCATACCCAACTGGGACCAAAACCAATTACATTCCAAAAACTGAGAGGTAACGCCACAAAGCCTATTAAAACAGTGTGAGCACCCAAAAAGGCAGATGTAGGACATTACTGCTTAAGTGAATGTTTTGTCTTAGAATGAGCAATGTTGTTAGGGGTCATGGAAACAGTTTTGGAAACTTTGGATACTAGAATTAATTGCCTTCAGTTTCAAAAGGGCCTATTTATCTTTCTCATTTATAGTCAAAATTCTGTGAAAGGGAAAAGTTGCTCCTAAATAATGGCAGAAAATATCCCATGGTTTTGAGAATGAGCTGGCTCTTTATGGAACTGATCCACCTCTTGAGCAAGCTGTGTGTGGTATATGGTCTGAGACATTCTTTTCCCCAGGGTTCCCATTACTGCTTCAGGTCCTTTGTCAAGCCAACAATTTGGGAGTTTTCTTCAAATAAGGCTCCAGTACTTATTAAAAAAAAACCCCTTAGTTGCATGGTCTTTCATCTAAAGATGGCCCATCTTGTGTGTGTATGTGTGTGTGTGTGTGTGTGTGTGTACACTTCCTATCATTAGCTGAATTTTGATGATCTGCCTGGGGAATACCTGATAGTGAATAAAATACAGTCAGCTCATTTCACCAGTAAGTAATGTACTCTCTGGTCCACCACGTGAAAATGAGCTTCTCAGATATTTTTGGCTGGGATGTTTTCTAGGGAAGAATAACTGAGACTGCTGACACTTTTCAGAACAAACCTCTGATGTTTTTGAAAGCTGCTTCAACTGGCTTGTTTTAGGATAAGCTTGTACACCATGTAAGGTGACTGATTCCACAATCATCCAACTATGCCCTTGTTGTCATGTTTGCACACATCAGTGTTGTTGATGTTTGATTGAAAGCTCCTAGCAGAGTTCCAAATAAAGGGACAAAGCATCTTTCCTCATTATCAAAATGGCCATAGAGTTGCTTGAAAATAGATTTGGGTCAATATGGTTGGCTGTGCCTCCAAGTTCCAGATAGATATTGGAGTGCGTTAGCTAAGTAGGATATGAGATTTAAAAAAGTAGCAAACATTTAGATATTTCTTTATATTGGTTTATTTACCAAAGTCTACCCAGAACCAATTAGAAAAATGGTGACTTTTCTTTCTTTATGCAACTAGATGCATATTTGAAAAGTAGTTGAATTTCAAGCATAAGTAATCCTGACATTCAATGGCAAAATTGTGTTTATGTATTTAGCGGTAGGAGCTAAGGTTGCTTTTCCCCTAAAATGAGGATTCTCAACCTCTCCCAGAGGAGGGATTGTTGTGGATAGACTCCCTAAGCTCTCTTGTGGTGTATGCCCCACGGGAATGTTAGAGATGTCCATCTCAAGGTTTTCACCAGGAGGAGATTTAGGGAACAAGTCACACATGGGACAGGTCCTTGGAAAGCCCAGGTCTAAAACTCTGAGGGTTACATATGCTATATCCTTCCAATCTCATTTCTTCAAGGATGAAGTTCCTTCTTGAGTGGCTCATGCATTCTTGACAGCATCTTTATCTGGCTGTCTCTTGATTACAAATTAGTTATTTATTCAGTTGATGTCTTCATTATAATCATTCTCTTCCATTTCTGTAATTTACCTATAGGCATTATGGTTTAGTAATAGCTCCCAATTTGTTCACATCTCCCTGTTCCTTGTTTAATCTCCTTCCACACTCATTCTGGGGTTGGTTGACTGACTTGCTTTGGCCATTGAGACAGTAACACATGTAATGTCAACTGAGAGTTGAAAATTACTTGCTCATTGAATTTTCTCTCTTTCACTGCTTACAGTGAAGAAGAAAATGCTAGTCTCCTGAATAAAGAGATATATAAGATCCAGTCACCCCTATTACTCCAGCAATAGTCTACCAACTGTCAGACATGTGAGTGAGGCTATTCTAGATCTTCTAGCTCACAAGCTAAAAACCATTGCATAGCACAAAAGAATCCAGCAGAGATTACTTCAGCTGTATTAGATTAGAAGAATCATTAGAGCCAATATTAAGGTGTGGCAAGAGTCATGCCTAGAACATGAAATTTAAGAAGGCATTTACTCTCAGGATCATGCAAATGCAGGGCTGATAAATGAATGACTCTAAGAGTTAGTGTCTCCTTAAATTTTGTGCCCTAGGCATGTTACTTGCTTCATCCTAATCCCAGCACAATGAACCACTCAGGTGGCCCACAGAATTATGAGCCAAATAAATGGCTGTTGTTTTAAATCACCAAGGTTTGAGGTGATATGTTTCACAGCAATAAACAGTTGGTATACGTTGATTACCTCTCTCTGTCTCTCTGTCTTTGTCTCTGTCTCTCTCTCTCTCTCTCTCTCTCTCTCTCTCTCTCTCTCTCATGTGTTTTAGAATACCAGAATAAGCCCTGAAGGAATTGAACTGAAAATCTAACCAAGTTCTTGAGCTCCTTGAGAGCAGATCCCCTGATGCAGTGGATGAACAAAAAGTTTTCTATGTGTGCTATGAATTCCGAGTCATTGCTTATTCTTCTTGTGTCTTATTTTAGGGGATGATGGTGCACCATTCTTTACACAACTGTTTTTCACTGACTTGATTCTGGCAGGATGTAACAGGCTTATTTTTCTATACCTGGCTAAATTGAATCAACCCACAATCACACCCTTGGTCTCAGAAGCACTCATTAACCTTCTAAGCAAACTTGATCCTTGTGTCTGCTAGAACCTTGGTAATGAAGTGTGAGGTTCAAGGTTCAGACTTCTTCTCGTGGTCCGTGGTCCTTGTCCTACGAAGTTTGAAGGATGAGCTATAAACTCGTGGACACAAAGGCTTCTTTAATAAAAAATCTGGAAGTTTATTGGAAACATATACAAACTCCATCTGGGCAGAGGTATCCCTAAAGGGGACCCCCTGGGAAGGGGCCCCAAATAGGAAAAGCCTCCTCTTTCTCTCTCTCTCTCTCTCTCTCTCTCTCTCTCTCTCTCTCTCCCTCGCTCTCACTCTCACTCTCACTCTCATTCTTGCTCTTTCTCTAATGTAAGGAAAATTTAAATCCAAAAATATGATATCTAAAAATATGTAATCTAAAAAAATCTGTCTCATGTCCCTTTGTCTCCAGTTTATATATGCTGTAGTCCTTTGTTTGAAGCTGACCCTTTCTAATTGGACTCTCCTTAATTTAGGACCCCTATGCTTTCCTCATTGGTCATTTTGTTACATAATATCAGTTTCAAAGGCCAAAGTCCACGTGCTAACCCCCTCTTTTTCTCCCCTTATCTTGCAACATTCCTCTATTCTCAGTGAAAATATGTTTCCTTCCCATTATCCTGTGACATTTCTTTATCCTTTGTGAATGTATGTCTTCCTCCCCCCTTATCCTGTGGCATTTCTCTATTCTCTGTAAGATAAGTATTTTGGGTCTCCAAGCCTCCAACTATGCATTCCTCTCCCATGGACCTTCTTTATTCCCTAAAAACTCCTTAAACCTGCCTATTTTGTCCATAGAATTCCTTTCAGTAATGACAATGTTCTTTGGGCTTAGCTGAACATATGGCTCTTGTCTGCCCTCTCCATGGTCATCTTCTATTGTGAAGCTAAAAGAAGCTAGATTAATATAACCCTATACCATTTTATCCTATGAAAGAAAACCCTTTGTTAAAATAACAGTATCCATTGTTGTCTCTAAATAGAAAATAAAATTTAAAGAAACATAATTTCTCAGATACACTAAGTTCCCTTTCTCACAATAGACCTCAAATGATCTACCCTAGATAGTATTTACTCTGTTTGATAGAGAATCTTTCTCACACAATCAGAAGTCAAAAAGCTGGCCCACAGATCCCTTTTTGTGTATTTCAGGCAAGTCAAGCAAAACTTCTATGCTCTGATGAGTTTGCCCTGCTTGCAACTCATCAAGTGCTTTTCTTTTATTTCTAATTGCGTTAGTGAAAGTTCTAACTTGTGACCACATCATACTAACTTCAGGGACTTAAAGATTTCTCAACTTTTTTTTAAATAAAAGGAATAATCTGTTCTTTTCACTTGGCTCTTTCCACCTTTTCCTTTTTTGGGCCTTTCTTGAACCTTACACTTTCTGGACCCTAACAAATTACTAAAGAAAAGGCATGATCCATGACTTGACCTTTAGACATTTTGAAATGGTTTCTTTCCAATCAAGCCTTCTCTGGACCTAAAACAGCTGTCTTCCTTTTGTTGCCAGGCAAGATTGGAATACATGTTCCCAAGAATTCCTGGTTCCTGGAGTATTACATTTTCACCCCACATTACACTTACGGTTGCTTATTTATCTACAGCAGAATGTAAGTTTCTCACTAGTAGGAAAGGTATCTCATTTTTCTCTATATTCTCAGCACAATTCCTTACACATAGTAGGTACTCCATAAATTTGGTGGAATTATTCTATGAATGAATGAATAAATGAGTGAGTGAATGAATGAATCAACAGGACTGAGAGTTGAATCTGAAAAAACCGTTGTTACCTTTCAGGGCATATAACAGAGGTTAAGAACAAAGGACTTTTGAATAAGACTGGTTTCAGTTTCTAGCTCTAAATCATACTAGCTGTGTGGCCTTAGGCACATTACTTAACCTTTTGGTGACTAAATTTCTTTGTCACTTGACACACTGCTTGACAAATAGTAAATAGGTACTTAAAATGGTAGCCTCTCTCCGTAGTGGTAATAATAGAAGCAGTAACCACAGCACCCTTTGGGCTTTCCATATGAGGTTGGCTTTCACTATGCATGGCAGTGAGAGTGTAGTGACAATGGGATAGTTCTGCAATAAGCTACCTGAAGAGTGGAAGCAATTTCCTCAGTGGTTGAAATAAAGTACAAATATCCAGGGTTAAGTAGTTATTACACTTAGCAAAATTCATGTTGCCATAAAATGTCTGCTCTTTTTAAAAAATATGTTTTTATTGATTTCAGAGAGGAAGGGAGAGGGACAGAGAGATAGAAAGATCAATGATGAGAAAAAATCATTGATCGGCTGCTTCCTGCATGCCCTACACTGGGGAATCAATGGACCTGCAACCCTGGCATGTGCCCTGACCAGGAATCGAACGTTAACCTCGTTCATAGGTGGTTGATGCTCAACCACTGAGCCACGCTGGCTGGGCTGTTTTTTTTTTTGTGTGTGTGTGTGTGTGTGTGTGTGTGTGTGTGTGTGTTTTAAATATCAACAGACCAGAACGTTTTTACACCAACAGGATAAGAACCATTTTGGAATTATTGCTGTCCTTCCAAATAGCCACCTTGGAGGAAAGTGCATACATCAAAGCACCTGCTACTGCCTGATAATTTTGGACTTCTTTTTTAGGAAATGGTTTCATAACTGATTTATGAGACACATAAAAAATGAGGTTTTTCATATTTCAATTGGAGTCATACGCCATATGCTATGAACATACATTCTGTCCTATGACCCCAGTCTTCAGCACTGGCCTTTGACCCTGATGACCACACTATCATTTCCCAAGAACCCAGCTTCCATTGTGACAGATTTTCTAATCAGTGGGGAGAAAGTATTCTTTTATGTTTGCACATAATTGTTCTAGGAATGAGAAAGTGCCATCTTTTGTTTCCTAATATATTTTGAGGTATTGGGATAAAGTATTTTTTAAAGGGGAAAATGCCTTTAAGTATTTTTATTTTTATTTTTGCTAGCTAAGAAGGTGATATTTCATATATATATAAAGTCTATCTCTATATATAAAAGCCTAAGCGACCATTAAGACCCATGGACCAGTCACTATGAAGTGACCACCAGGGGGCAGACGCTCAATGCAGGAGCTGCCCCCTGGGCAATCCTACAGCCAACCTCCCACGGCAGGCCAACCTCCCACAGTCCCTCCCTTCCACCCTCCAGACCCCCGCTGGCTGGGTGGTCAGTGCGCTCCCACAGCCAACCTCCCGTGGTCCCTCCTCCCAGACTGGGCAAGAAGACCCTGATTGGCCCTGATCATAGGCCAGGCCAAGGGACCCCACCATGCACAAATTCGTGCACTGGGCCTCTAGTATTAAATAAAAATGTTTAATATTTTCTACTTAAAAATGTAATATATTCCATCATAACAAAAACTAAAGCAGTATATGAAGAAAAAAATAGTTGTTTCTCCTCTTCCTCCTCCTTCAATTATGTCCCTCAAATGTAATAACTTTTATCAGCTTGATGTGTGCATTTTCATACTTTTCTATATGTACAAACAAGCATAAACACACAAGCCTTCCCCCTTTTTTGGTTTTAAAAAATGAGACCACAGTATATACACTATTTTACAGCCTATTTTTACTTACCAATATGTCATGGACATTTTTTTGGGTCAGTGTTATAGATCTAATTCATTGAAAAATACCTGCAAAATATTCTGTTAAATGGATGTACCTTCATTTAGTGATGGATATTATGCTGTTTTCATTTTTTTTTTTTATTGCTTAAAGCATTACAAAGGGTATTACATATGTGTCCTTTTTTTCCCCGCCCTTGACAATACCCCGGCTTCCCCTACCCCCCCAGTGTCTTATGTCCATTGGTTATGCTCATATGCATGCATACAAGTCCTTCGGTTGATCTCTTACCCCCCTCCCTCCTGCCCCCCAACCCTCCCCAGCCTTCCCGCTGCAGTTTGACAATCAGTTTGAGGCAGCTCTGCCTCTGTATCTATTATTGTTCAAAAGATTATAATGGTCTCTATTATCCATGAATGAGTGAGATCATGTGGTATTTTTCCTTCATTGACTGGCTTATTTCACTTAGCATAATGCTCTCCAGCTCCATCCATGCCGTTGCAAATTGTAAGAGTTCCTTCTTTTTTACAGCAGCATAGTATTCCATCGTGTAGATGTACCACAGTTTTCTAATCCATTCATCTACTGATGGGCACTTAGGCTGTTTCCAAATCTTAGCTATGGTGAATTGTGCTGCTATGAACATAGGGGTGCATAGATCCTTTCTGATTGGTGTTTCTGGTTTCTTGGGATATATTCCTAGAAGTGGGATCACAGGGTCAAATGGGAGTTCCATGTTTTGTTTTTTGAGGAAACTCCATACTGTCTTCCATAGTGGCTGCACCAGTCTGCATTCCCACCAGCAGTGCACAAGTGTTCCTTTTTCTCCACATCCTCTCCAGCACTTGTCGTTTGTTGATTTGTTGATGATAGCCAGTCTGACAGGTGTGAGATGGTACCTCATTGTTGTTTTGATTTGCATCTCTCGGATGATTAGTGACTTTGAGCATGTTTTCATATGTCTCTTGGCTTTCTGAATGTCCTCTTTTGAAAGGTGTCTATTTAGATCCTTTGCCCATTTTTTGATTGGATTGTTTATCTTCTTTTTGTTAAGTTGTATGAGTTCCCTATAAATTTTGGAGATTAGGCCCTTATCAGATATAATGTTGGCAAATATGTTCTCCCATGTAGTGGGCTTTCTTGTTGTTTTGTTGATGGTTTCTTTTGCTGTGCAGAAACTTTTTATTTTGATGTAGTCCCATTTGTTCATTTTCTCTTTAGTTTCAACTGCCCTAGGAGCTGTATCAGTGAAGAAATTGCTTTGGCATATGTCTGAGATTTTGTTGCCTTTGGATTCTTCTAGAATTTTTATGGTTTCCTGTCGTACATTTAAGTCCTTTATCCATTTTGAGTTTATTCTTGTGTATGGTGTAAGTTGGTGGTCTAGTTTCATTTTCTTGCATATATCTGTCCAATTTTCCCAACACCACTTATTGAAGAGACTATCTTGGCTCCATTGTATGTTCTTGCCTCCTTTGTCAAATATTAATTGAGCATATTGGTTTGGGCCAATTTCTGGGTTCTCTATTCTATTCCATTGATCTATATGCCTGTTCTTGTGCCAGTACCAGGCAGTTTTGAGAACAGTGGCTTTGTAATACATCTTGATATCTGGTATTGAGATCCCACCTATTTTCTTCTTTCTCAGGATTGCTGCAGCTATTCGGGGTCTTTTTTTATTCCAGATGAATTTTTGGAGAGTTCGTTCTAGATCTGTGAAGTATGCCGTTGGTATTTTAATGGGAAGTGCGTTGAATTTATAGATTGCTTTGGGTAGTATGGACATTTTAATGATGTTGATTCTACCAATCCAAGAACATGGTATGTTCTTCCATCTCTTTATGTCTTCCTCTATCTCTTTTTTCAACGTCCTGTAGTTTTCTGAGTAGAGGTCTTTTACCTCTTTAGTTAAGTTTATTCCTAGGTAGCTTAATTTTTTTGGTGCGATGGTAAATGGGATTGTTTTTATAATCTCTCTTTCTGAAAGTTCACTATTGGTGTATAGAAATGCCTCAGATTTCTTGGCATTAATTTTGTATCCTGCTACTTTGCCAAATTCATGTATTAAGTCTAGTAGCTTTTTGATGGAGTCTCTAGGGTTTTGTATGTATAATATCATGTCATCTGCAAATAAGGACAGTTTTACTTCCTCTTTTCCAATTTGGATGCCTTTTATTTCTTCTTCTTGCCTAATTGCAATGGCTAATACTTCCAGTACTATGTTGAACAGGAGTGGTGAGAGTGGGCATCCCTGTCTTGTTCCTGTTCTTAGGGGAAATGGTGTTAGTTTTTGTCCATTGAGTATGATGTTGGCTGTGGGCCTGTCATATATGGCTTTTATTAAGTTGAGGTATGATCCTTCTACTCCCACCTTGCTGAGAGTTTTTATCAAAAATGGGTGTTGGATTTTGTCAAATGCTTTTTCTGCATCAATTGATATGACCATGTGGTTTTTTTCTTTCAATTTGTTTATGTGATGTATCACGTTTATTGATTTGCGGATATTGTACCATCCTTGCATCCCTGGAATAAATCCTACTTGGTCATGGTGTATGATCTTTCTGATGTACTGCTGGATCCGATTTGCTAAGATTTTGTTGAGGATTTTGGCATCTATGTTCATGAGGGATATTGGCCTGTAATTCTCTTTCATTGTGTTGTCTTTACCTGGTTTTGGTATTAGGGTGATGCTGGCTTCATAGAATGAGCTTGGAAGTGTTCCTTCCTCCTGAATTTTTTGTAGTAGTCTGAGGAGGATAGGTTTTAGTTCTTCCTTGAAAGTTTGGTAAAACTCCCCTGAGAAGCCATCTGGTCCTGGGCTTTTGTTTGCTGGGAGCTTTTTGATGACTGCTTCAATTTCTTCCATAGTTATTGGCCTATTGAGATTTTTAGATTCTTCCTGATTGAGTGCTGGAATGTTGTATTTTTCTAGGAATTTGTCCATTTCCTCCAGGTTGTCTAGTTTGTTGGAGTAGAGCTGTCCATAGTATTTTTTAACAATCATTTGTATTTCTGTGGGGTCTGTTGTTATTTCGCCTCTATCGTTTCTGATTTGGTTTATTTGGGTCCTCTCTCTTTGCTTCTTGGTGAGCCTGGCTAGAGGTTTGTCAATCTTGTTTATCCTTTCAAAGAACCAGCTCTTGGTTTCATTGATTTTCTGTATTGTTTTTTTGGTCTCTATGTCATTTATTTCTGCTCTAATCTTTATTATCTCCTTCCTTCTGCTCACTCTGGGCTTTTCTTGTTGCTCTCTTTCTAATTCTTTGAGCTGTAGATTTAGATGATTTACTACCATTTTTTCTTGTTTTTTGAGATAGGCCTGTAGAGCTATAAACTTCCCTCTCAGGACTGCTTTCATTGTGTCCCAAAGGTTTTGGATTGTTGTGTTTTCATTGTCATTAGTGTCCAGGATGTTTTTAATTTCTTCTTTGATCTCATTGGTAACCCAATCAATATTTAATAACATGCTATTCAGCTTCCAAGTGTTTGAGTATTTTGGGTTGTTTTTATTGTAGTTTATTTCTAACATTATGCCATCGTGGTCTGAGAAGAAGCTTTTTATGATTTCAATCTTCTTGAATTTGGGGAGACTTTGCTTGTGACCCAATATGTGGTCTATTTTTGAATATGTCCCATGAGCACCTGAGAGGAATGTATATTCCATGGCTTTGGGGTGAAGTGTTCTGAAGATGTCAATTAAGTCCATCTGATCTAGTGAGTCATTTAGGATTGCTGTTTCTTTGCTGATTGTTTGTCTAGCGGGCTTATCCAGTGGTGTCAGTGGTGTATTAAAGTCCCCTACTATGATTGTATTGTTGTCGATCTCTCCTTTGATATCTTCCAGGAGTTTTTTTATGAATTTGGGTGCTCCTGCATTGGGTGCATATATGTTTACCAGGGTTATATCTTCTTGTTGTATTGATCCCTTTAGTATTATGAAGTGGCCTTCCTTATCTCTGGTTATGGCCTTCACTTTGAGATGTATTTTGTCCGATATAAGTATTGCTACCCCAGCTTTCTTTTCCTTTCCAT